TAAATAAAAGCAGTGTAGCTGTAGGTAAACACCAACTCTCACTGAGATTCAAAAGTAGTGAGTAACTGAGACTTTTTTGTTTGTTCTTGACAATAAACAGTTAACCTCTTAGTTTTCTAACTCCACAACAATCTCATCTTACTGCTGCCAAAGATTAGTACTGACAGTAGAAGTTTGACTTAAAACTGACTGGACACATTCTTGGATTTGGTTATGTCACACAAATTCATACTTTACGGAAATAAAGAAGATGGCCACCACATATTTCCGCAGCTTTGCTGTTTTCATTCACTCTCATCAGTGCTCATTTCTGTTTACAGTGAAAAAGCTCTGAAAACAATCAATGAATGCAGCTTTGACATAAAAATGTAGATCTAACGTTAATTCTGTGTCGGTTTATGGCTTTTCTTTAACGTCTAACTCCTACTTTAAATGTACTCTGTTTTATAATAGTGAGACAAAGTTTACAGCTTATTAACCTTTGAACATCTGAATTCTAAAACATGATTTATAATCCCATCTGTCACTGCGGCAACTAACAACAACTTTACCATTAGCAAAGTGACAATCGTGTAATGGCAGTATTGAAGCAGTGTAGACAGGGCTACAGTATGGGTACCTTACATATGGGAAGAAATAAGTATTCCTGGTATATTCATGCTGGAAAAACTTGTAAGGAAAGCCTGTTTACAGACCCAAACTGCACATTTAAGAGTTAAGAGTCCCGGTCTGAACACATTTACATGGAAATATTCAGTCTTACTCAGTCATTTACATAAACATTTAACGGTGTGGTCTACACATGATGTGTTGGCCGCAACAGCAGCACACCCCATGCACGCAGACTTCAAGGACCTGTTTGTCACTGCTGTAGCTTTAATTATCATCATTATTATGGTTGTTATCCTTCCTGTCATCATCATCATTATCATCATTTGTCATATTTCTACTGTTAAAGTTGTTACTAGTATTGTCTCTCGGGAACTGCTGGGTCTCTGTAACTCATTTTATAAGGAGGATGGTCTAGACCTGCTCTATGTGAAAAGTTTCCACAGATAACTTCTGTTATGATGTGGCACTATACAAATAAATTAAATTTAATGAGTTCAATATATGTGTAAATCTTACACCATTACCATCTGCAGTACCATCAAAAACCAATAAAGATAGCAACTGATGGACATGTGACAAATGTTTAACAGTCAGATCATATACAGAATGAACATTGTCCATCTGTCCTTTAGGACTAGGCTATAGGTTCTGTACTGAAGTAGTTTTTTTGGGGTAGCTGTACTTTACTTGAGTTTATTTTCTGACTTTTTACTTTTACTCCCCACATTTTTAAACACAAACACCTGAACCTTCTACTACTTATATTCTCAAAACAGGCATGTCACTTTAGTTTTAATGCATTTAAGCAGAATTATTAATTATTAATTCAGTTTTGCATCATTTCACTTCCCAACATCTTAGATCGCATACACAAATTTAAATGTTACATTTTTGTCATATGCTGCATCGTTAGATCAGTTTGATTCTCCACAATTCAATCCTTCAGTTAATTTTACAGCAACCGAGAGCACCAATGTATCAAATTATCAACTTAATGATTCATAATTTATATGTAATTTTATAGTTTTAATGCATTTAAGGAGAATTATTAATTATTAATTCAGTTTTGCATCATTACAAGCCTTCCCAACATCAAGACCGGTTTATATCACGGTCTTGTATGTCAGACATAGCATGATGAAATCAAGAGGGAGACTCGACCCTATTTGAAGTTTCAGTTAGCTTTGCACAGAAACAGACGGTAGAAATGTCGTAGTAGTACATTTCAGAATCTGTACTTTTTCACTTTTACACAAGTAAAGAGGTTGAATCAGTACTTCCTATTTCTACTTGAGTAAAGAATGTGTGTACTTTTATCAATACTGGGTGCGGCAGGAGGGGACGGGGGCCTTCAGGGGACAAAGATCTCCTGTTCCTGTCAGTTATTCAGCCAGTCACATGTCCGCTGTGTGGACAGAGCTTAGTGCACATACACTACAAGAAGGGAGGGGGGAAATGAGTTTGAGCTGAAGCTGATTGCCTCTGCACTCCGTTCGACAGTAACAAACTGTCCTGTCCAATTTTATCTCACACATATACATAAACACTCAATCAATCAGTCATTTTCAGCTCTTCACCAGGCAGTGTATCTAACCTGGCGCAGAGCCATTATCAGTGGCATTTATGTTGCACAAACTGACGCTTGTTGGTATTCAAATGTCCGTGGCAACAGATAAAGAGTGCAGGTATACACACATCTGTGTGAAGCTGCTGCAATGTTCACAGCTATTTGGACAGCTTATCGTTTAGTATGGTTTACCTTTAACTCTAAAGCTATAGTATTACGTAACATTCCTGCAATAAAATGTCTATAAACACTAGACCTACGTTCTACATGTAGTTGAGTTGTATTTCTTACATTATCCCAAATGTTTCCAACAATGTTCAAACTCAGAGAAATCTGGCATTTTATTCAGGTAACGGTGCGTTTCACTGGTCGCCTGTCAATTGTGTCATATCCCCTGTGTGCCTGCGTCAGTGTTGTGGTTGTCTGCCAGAACACAGTCATACATTGACTGTTTATCCAATTTAAAGCCACATTTTTATGATATTATTTGTAGAACTTGGTGAAGGATTCATTTTAGTAAGTTATCACAGAAACAAGCTGA